TGCGATTTGCCGGCTGTGCGCGCAACCCTCTGCGGAGATCGTGCGTGCGCAGGCGAGAGTGCGATTTGTAGTACAACCTTAGTACGCGGACTAGCTGGGGAGCTGGAAGATGAGAACTGGCGACTTTGTAGTACAACTGTAGTACGCGGAGTAGCTGGGGAGCTGGAAGCTGAGAACTGGCGACTTTGTAGTACAACTTTAGTACGCGGAGCAATCTGTGGAGCTGGAAGCTGAGAACTGGCGACTTTGTAGTACAACTTTAGTACGCGGAGTAGCTGTGGAGCTGGAAGCTGAGAACTGGCGAGTTTCTAGTACAACTTTAGTACGCGGAGCAATCTGTGGAGCTGGAAGCTGAGAACTGGCGACTTTGTAGTACAACTTTAGTACGCGGAGTAGCTGGGGAGCTGGAAGATGAGAACTGGCGACTTTGTAGTACACCTTTAGTACGCGGAGTAGCTGGGGAGTGGGAAGATGAGAACTGGCGACTTGGTAGTACAACTTGATTCCCTGCAGCCGTGCACGCTGCTTCTCCCCTTACCAAGCAGCTCAGATGCTCATGACCATGAGCTGGGCTGTCACCGCTTGGCCGCCGGTGGGGGGTTTTGGGAGGCCGCATCACACACAAACACCCACGCACTGCCTCAACTTACACGAACACACACACACACGCAGACTCATATACACACGGACATAGATACACACACAGAAACCCACACACTACCTCAACTCACTCGACTTAACACTTCACACCGCACACTTAACAGATAACTCGCACTCTGACTTCCTACGTGATGAAAAATGCTTTCGGGCCACTCATCGTCTAGTTCTATTTGGTGCTTCCATAAATTTGGGCCATTTCAAACCATGACCTCGGCCAGGAACCGAAACATTTCAGAGATTCACAAAACATTGCGTGTCCAGCGTGGTTCTCCAAAGAATATTGGGTTCATTGTCCGTTTGAACCGTTTTTGCGGCTGATGCATGTTTTCTTTGCACATGGTATCAGTTTACCTTATCATACATACTGTATGTGTATTATTGTAAATACGCATGTTTATTGCCCCATGGACTTTTAATGGCCAGCCACAGAGCCCAGCCACAGAGTTGACAGAGTTCAGGGGCGCGGCCAAGAGGAGGACAAGGAGGACAAGGCCCAGCCACAGAGCCCAGCCACAGAGTTGACAGAGTTCAGGGGCGCGGCCAAGAGGAGGACAAAAGGAGGACAAGGCCCAGCCACAGAGCCCAGCCACGGAGCCCAGCCACAGAGTTCAGGGGCGCGGCCAGTGAGTGTGGCCAGCTCTTTTCTTTCTAAGATAGAACCCCAACAGTAAACTGTTTGGGGAAAAATCGAAATCACTTTGAGGGAGTAAGCTACTTAGTAGGGAGTAAGCTACTAGGAGTTCACGCACTAATGATTTGGTTCCTATAATGTTAGGGAAATGCAACAAGTGTTTGTTAAATTAAGAGTAAGTAACATATAACATGTTGGCTACTAGATGTTCAAAAACGAAACAACGCGACTAACAAGTCGTAATATCGTCGGATGTTATCAGGCACATCAGGATCATAGTGTGGCGGCACCGCACAGTGTAGCATTAGTGAACTGTTCAAAAACAGAAATCACTTTGAGCAATCTCCACCTGAGTTTACTCGTGAAAGGGGACTTGGGCAGGCGGAACATGACAAGCGCAGTGAGCATTAGCAGGACACTTGCAGGAACTCAACATAGTTTCAAACTGGTTTGTCGCGATTCCTAAGTTTTGAAGCACAGCACTGAGTCCAGAACGATTTGCTGGATTTACTGGGTCGAGGAGAAATGGTAGAGCGATTCTGGATGGGCAATTTGGGCGCAATGACCCCAGCCATCGATCGACCTTGGCAAAACCGATCTGTTCCTCCCTAGAAAACAAGGAAATCAAAGAACATGCACAAAAATTGTTTTGAAATAGAAAATCAAGTCACTAACTTAAACAAACGACCAAGGAACAAAAAGGAACTGTTTCTTAACAAAAGTGAAAAAGTGATGAAGTTCATACGACACATTGCCCCGCTGAGACGTCCACTTCGCTGTGCGGTTTGCGTCTTAAAACACTAGGCTGCAAGGCACTGCAAGTCTGCACCCTGTTGTCGTTTTGAGCGCACGTCATGTTCAATGTGATGTACGAGATGCAAATGCGTTGTGTTTGTAAAGAAATTGCACTACTGACGCCTTTTCTGTGCATGTGTTTTGTCACACATGTAGACTTTGACCTCACACCTGCTACCAACAACAAAGTGGAGCAAGAATGAATGATCTTGACCATCAGCGTCTTGGCCTCAAATTGCGGTTGCAGCAGACCTATTCCCACACTGGCACGTAAGTTAGTTGCCCAAAGCACGTGCCCACAAAGAAGTCGCTAAATGCAGAGTTGATTTTGTTTGCCCCTTTCCAAAGATGTTTTGGCCATACCTGGAGACAAACACTCGACAATGCAATCAAATACTGCCTTGTCAAGCCGCAGCTGATGCAACAATGTCTGTCGTTTCACGGTATACAGAAGGCGCACGGGGTTCCTTTCCATTGGAGATTTGTGGTCAAAGACGCGTGAGACTGTTGTTGTGAGACACTAAGAGGCTTCGACAGCCGTGTGAGCACTCATGACTTCGCTCAATGGTTCATGATCTGCTTAACTCGGATTCGGTTTTCAGGTACACCTGCAGCTTTGGCAGCAGCCCGGACAAATTGTTGCTTGAAGCGATCCTGATCTCGGTCCACTTCCTCCAAGTCAGAGATAGAACATCGGATATGAAGCTGCATTGGCATCGTGCGGACTAAATCCCTGGCATGCATCGGCATAGGCGGCATCGGCGGCGGCATTCCCTCAGGCTTCGCTTCGGGCCACGCGTCAAAGGAATTGGGAAAAGGACCCGCCGGACCCGCCGGAGCCGTGCCCGTGCTGACCGCATCGAAGGCCGGCCACTCAGCACTAGGAACACTAGGAGCTGCATCTTCACCCCAAGGAGCACTCCAAGGAGCAGCGAAATCACCGGTTCCAGAGTTCAGACCGTTCCCACTTGTGCTTTGTTCAAATGCACCAGGCCAAGCCGCAAAAGTTGCAAAGTCCTCGCTTTCTCTCCGATCGCTTCGATCCTTCGGAGACGACGAAGCCTTCGTCTCTCTCTTTTCCGAAGGAGACGCCTTCGGAGACGGAGACACCGTCGCGGGGCCGAGCTTCGGGGACGCCGAGACCGCGGAAGGCACCGAAGGCGCGGAAGGCGCTGCGGCTGCGGTCGTCGGCTTCCGAGTCTTCCATTCTCTCTCCATATTCTCCAGCCTTTCCAGCACAGTGGTGATCTGGCTGAAAAGGGTCATCCCATCGTCCTGGCGGACCAACCACAAAGCACAAAAATGACCGGCGCTACAGCTTCGTTAAACGGAAAAGCGATAACTGCTCTGCGGCGCCAATTTTGCATATCAGAAGGTTACATAGAAGCAAAGATGGCTTTGTGAAGAGATTCCAGTCGTCAAACCATCAAGCTATATGAATCTCTGAAGGGAGCCCCTAGTAGCGTCCTTGCTCCTAGTAGTAAGGCCAGGAGCCCCTGGTAGCTTCCTTGTTCCTACTCATTTCATGTTTTTTGTCCAGACTCTTCGGATAATAATTTTGGTTTCACGACGTGTCTGAACATCAAAGACGCTTGATTGGGTCTCGAACGACAGGAAAAACAGCGCCAAGTGCTGGAGATGGTAGAGTTGAAAGTTGTCTGAGGTCAGTCAGGACGCGCAGTGCGTCAAGCAAGTGTGAAGTGGCAGGGTCCAAGTCGCAAGATCATCTTGAGCGTAAACTATACCACCGGAGGTTCTAACGTTAGATCTGTTGGTTGAATTGCGAGGGCTGGCAGTCGTGAGGTCGAGGTCGACATCCTGAGGTTCGTAGTTTTAGCTGCGGGAAGTATTTGTCGGCCAAAGAATCTGGAAGAGGGAGAACGGGAGAACTTGCTTAACTAGTAACTAGAAGCTTTCTAGTAACTAGAAGCTACTAGGTCGAGGCCATCGCTACTTGAGGCCAGGGGGAGGAGGTCGAAAGCTAGCCGAGTCGCACCGGATGTACTAGTTACATAGTCGGCAAAGCATGTAGTGACTACATGTTTTGGGAGAAAGGTTGCTACGTACACACTTTGCGCTAAAGAATGTAAATGTTACATCGCCGACTGGGAAGGGTACATTGGAACAACACGGGTGCACTTGTTGGCAGGCACGAAGATGCGTGATCGGCAATCTGGGGGGTAAATTTACCCCCCGCTTTTGTATGCCTTGAGTCGGAAAGAGGGGTAAGCATTTCGGACATCACACGGACTGTACATACACTAGGGCGTCCGTAGTGTAGGAGAAGCACGGGTAAAAGGTATATGGAATAGAGTGTCTTGAGGAAATAGCCGGCTTATGGTTATGGCAAATCTGGGGGGTAAAGTTACCCCCCGCTTATGCATGCATTAGGCTAGAAATAGGGTAAAGAACTTGTAGCAGTGAAGTACAAGGCCTATGCAGCAAGCAGCAGCCAGCAGCAGCAGCAGAACCACCAACCAGCAGCCAGCCAGCAGCACCACGCAGCAGCAGCGCAGCACCAAGCAGCACCACCACCAGCAGCAAGCAGCAAGCAGCAAGCAGCAGCAGCAGCGGCGTCGTCAGCAACAGCAGCAGCGGCACCAAGCCGCAACAAGTAGCAAAGCAGCAGCTACAAAAGCGGCAACCAGCGGCAGCAGCAAACAGCAGCAGCAAGCAGCAGAGCGGCAGCAGCAGCACCGTTTACACCAAGCCACCGTTTACACCCAACCAACCACGTTCACACGTTCAACCAACCCCCGCTACACGGCGCAGCTGGGAGTTGAACCGCGGGGGGGGGGGTTTAGCACGCAGCCCCTCCCGCCACAACATTGCTAAAGCAAAGAAGAACTCAGCTAGCATGCTAGCTTTCGTGATTAGGTTGGAGGCCATCATCGCTACTAGTAACAATAAAGGTTTCTAAATAGAAGCTTCCTTGGGAATCGTATCGTTTCACTTGTAGTAACAAGAAGCGTTTTAGGTCTTTGAAGCTTGAAATTTGAATTTGGCCAGCAATCCCCAAAGCAGGAAGCATCCTGCGCAACTTGACCTCAAAGTTGAAAGTCCCAAACCAAAGCTGCTTGACCATGGAGCGTACACACCTCTTCAGCCTTCACGCTCAAAACTCTGCTCGCATTGAGCGTTTCCAATGCCTCAGGCAATTCAAACTGGCTCGCCCGTTGTCCATGATGGTCGACTTGCAGAATATGACCATCGAGGTGTTCCTCTAGTAGGTTGGAGGACATCGCCAGGTTGCAGGCCATCGCTATTAGGCTGGAGGCCATTGCTATTCTTTCCTCTGCCCTCATGGCCGTGATTTTCCGCAAGGGGATTGGCAAGGTGAAGCACGCTGTTTCACGCTGTCCACATTCAAGAGGCATGCGCACTGCAGGTGCCAAAAACGGCGGATCGGAGGGAAAGTCGGCTTCATTTCTGAAAGACGTATTGTTCTGTTTTACTCCTCAAAACCCCACTCAATTTCGTCGCAGCGCCTTCCTGTCTGAAGACCGCCGTCTCATTAAACATGGACAAAGGGCCGCACTTAAAGGGACAAGCAAAAGCACAAGGACAATAAGGACATAAGTGCAAAAACAGCATGCTACAGACAGAGAATGGGACCCGCTTACCGCCGCTTACCGCCGCTTACCTGCTTGACCTGTTTTGTTGGCCATCGGTTGATGGTCAGATGTCGCATTATCTGGCTGGCTACATGTTTAAAGCGAGATTGATTTTTAGAACATGGTGACACAGTGTTCTTTCAAAACAAGTGTTCTTAAGTAGCTAGTAGTAACAAGTGCATCGCTACTAGTAACAAGTGCCTTGCTAGTAGTAACAAGAAGCTAGTAGAAACAAGTGCCTTACTAGTAGAAACCATGTTTGCTACAGTACTAGGAACAACATGTATTCGTCCTGGTCCACGACGATCTCTGCCGCTGTTTCAAGCTTCGGCCGTAGCTCGTTGCACGCGCTGAACTGCTCGTGGATCATTTGGGAGCCCTCCACCTCGAAGGAGCGAAAACTGGAGAAACGGAGCGATCAATCCGACATATTCGGGGGAAAAAGAAGACTGATGCAATTAGAGAGCAATGTGTTTGACATATGCGTGTAGAGAGCAATGTGCAAAAAGTGTCGTTCGAAAAGGGCCTGCCTTGAACAAGGAAACAGCAGAATGAACAGGATGCAAAACACTTTAGAATCTCTATAGAATCGCTAGTAGTAACAAGTGCCACGCTACTAGTAACAGGTGCATCGCTAGTAGTAACAAGAAGCTACTAGGAACAAGTGCCACGCTAGTAGTAACAGGTGCCTTACTAGAGGAATTGGTGTTTGTCCTCTGCATCTAGTCACATCATCAGTTCCGACGTGGCCCATGATGTTTTCTATGAGTTCCAAATGCCCTTCGAGCTTCCTGCAGTGAAGCACGGTTGCTCCAAAAGTGATAGCAACACCACTTGCAACATGTTCAACCTGTGTTCAGCCTCCAACCTAAGAGCGATGGCCTCCAGCCTAATAGCGATGGCCCCCAGCCTAATAGCTTCCTTGCTCCTAGTAGCGTCCTTGCTCCTAGTAGCGATGCCCTTTGCTCCTAGTAGCGTCCATGCTCCTAATACTATGTTCAAATTGTTCACCCTTTGATTCATACTCCAAAGTCGTCTTCCGAGCTCCTGATGTCTTCCGATGGATCCATCTTTACACCTAGCAGCTGCAGCAGGCAACAAACTGATCATCGTTGACAACTTCTGATCCTTGGATACTGTCTGAGTCCAAGGCACACCCGGACAGCCCTGACAGCCTTGACCGATTCCAAATATGTACAACGATAGTAGTGAAATTTACATTGAAATTTTAAAGTAAAGAAAACAGGATTCTAATATAACGAAAGTCTTAGTTAGAACTTTCAAAATTGTTTGCACAGAGTCGCCACAAAGTTGTTTGCATATTGCAACCTATTGCAACTTTGTGAGCCAAATGCCACACGAAATGACGATTTCATGCCACTCCAAGGGAACTCGGAAAATGACTCAGAGAGTTTCATCTCACTCGGGTCGCTACCTCAAGCTGTTGCCGAAACATTCTGAAACTCTGATAGACAGTGCAAAAGATTCGACCACAAAGACTCTCTGATATAGTCTCCATGATGATTCGAAGTTCTCTCATTTTTTCTTCGTAGGTGATGAACTGCATCCACTCCTGAGACAAGAGCACAAACGCGCAAAGAGCACATCAACTGATTTTGGCAAACAAAAAATGCCAGCTGAGGCACATCCAGTAAGGTGCTGGGTTTTCCCCAGAGCCGAAAGTACCGCTCCAAGTCCTTGTAAAGCCTCCGGTACAGCTACGCAATGCAGCTAGGTTTGAGAAAAATGCGGTTGGGGCTACACTCGCTGTGTAGGTGGTTTGTTTGGTCACCAGTACTAGTACAACCAAACACGGCCTCGTGGATCCAGCGCTGCAACAAAGCGCTGCGTTCTTTTTTGATGCACAATTCGTAAAAACAAGCCCATTTCTTGGTAAAAAAACTGCTTCTTGCTAGTAGCGATGCCCTAGCTCAAGCTGTTATGGCGTTTAGCTTCGCCTTCCGTCAGCTCGCGCTTGGACTTCACTCTGGTCGCACTCTGGGAAGATTCGCGGGAATTCTGGCACTGCCTGGATTCTCAAAACAATCAAAACAATCAGGAGCACACAAAGTGGCCATGCTTTTCTTGTGTTGGAACAAGTGCCACGCTAGTAGTAACAGGTGCCTTACTAGTAGTAACAAGAACCTATTAGGAACAAGTGCCACGCTAGTAGTAACAGGTGCCTTACTAGTAGTAACAAGAAGCTATTAGGAACAAGTGCCACGCTAGTAGTAACAGGTGCCTTACTACTAGTAACAAGAAGCTATTAGGAACAAGTGCCACGCTAGTAGTAACAGGTGCCTTACTACTAGTAACAA